CCCCTCTCCCCACGCTGTGAATGGGGTCAAGGAGATTTGAAAGGGGAGGGGGAGGAGGGGGGTAAGGGGAGAGGGTCAGGAGAGGTCAGGTGAGTTTTCCATTTCATCCCGCGCCGAGGCTGCCAGAGCTATTCTCCATGGTGTATTTCACATTCAGCTGCGGTGAATGGACACTGATAGCTGTGAAAGGATCTGGCACTGTATGAACAGCCCTTCCCTAAGCGCTCGCTCTTGTGCTCGCTCCCACCCTTTTCTTCCACAGGGCTTCCAGGGAGCGGGGAATTAATAACGTTCATAAAGAGCCCCTTGGAAGGTTGGAAATGTAACGTTGCGGGTGTGAATGGAAACCCAAGGGCTGACAATACCCTGCGCCCTCCCCTCTCTCTCTGCTGCTCGTGGGGAATGCGTTTCTGCATCCAATCTGTGGCACGGAGGGGAGGCAAGGTGTGGGGCTGCGCCACCTGCAGCAGCCCCTGCCCAGCAGCACCGCCTGCCTCCAGCCTTGGCAATTAGGTGGGGTGATTATTTCCTGCATACGAAAGAGCTCGGCTTATTACGGAGCCCTGGCAGGTTGCAAACAACAGGAGAATCTCATCCTCTGTGGTCTGATGGTTGCTGCAGCTGTTTGTTAACCAGGGCTAGGTGCATGGCAGCCGTAAATCAGGGAGGTTGCAGCTGCGTGCAGGGAGATCTCAGCTCTTCTGTGCCTGCAGTGACTGGGAAGGTTAAGGAGAAGTAAGATGTGGATCCTACTGAGGAGCCCATGAGTTTTTCTCAGCCACACAACTGCACCCAAACTGTACTTTTAATATGTTTCTCCAGGTGCTGTGAGGTTTGTGCCATCTGAAAGCAAAAGCTGTGACCCGGAGCCTCTGCCCTGAGAAAGGAAGTGGGAGGTTAACTTTCTACGTGCTGTACTGCTCCGTGAATGAGTCCCTGTGTGTGATATCAGCAGTGCATTCAGCGTTTCCGTGTGCCTGTGCACCTGCTGGCACATTGCTGGGGTTCGCACTGGGCTTCCCCCTGCATGGCCATGCTGTACCTGCAATGCTTCGAGATGGGGAGAATGTGTGTCAGAGCTTTTCTGTAGTGGGCACTGCCCTCAGGCCATGGCAATGGCACGCATCCCATGTGCCAGCCCAACACCTGGGAGGAAATGGACACCCTGAAGCTGATTTTCTTGGCTTCACCCCTGGTGCTGCCAGGTGAGTGGGATGCAGGCAGCCCAGCCTGCCTTCCTCCTGGGTGCTTTCAGGGTGGGGAGCGGGTGCAGGAGGCACCAGGGGTGCAGCCCTTCGTGTCCTGGCTCTGGGTGCTGGGCAGGCTGAGGTGGGGTGGGTGGTAAGAGCTGCTCCAGGACCGCCCTCCTCCTGGTGCCAGCTGAAAGCCTCCGGGTGTTGATCTGCTGTTTCTCTGTAGAGGAAGGAAAGGAAAAGTTTGGTTTGCAAGCTTAAAACTAAAACAGAAAGGCGGAGTGAAAAGGTGCTGCTTTTCTCCTGCAGGAGCAGAGGAAAAGCCTTACTGCTCACAGCAGGTGATGTCCCCAAGGCACCACAACTCGGTGAAAGCTGGGAGAAAGTCCCACATGTGGCTTCTTCTGCTTCTGTGTGCAGGAAATCTTAGGCAGAGAGTGGGGAGTGGCTGTTACCCTTGTCAAGGCGCTTGGCATTGTGTCCAAACATTATTTGTGTTGTAGCAGCTTGGGGAAACTGAGGCCAGAGGGCAAAAAGTGCTTTCTGTCCTGCAGCTTTCTGGCCAGCCACCCCAGCTGATGATGGAGGGCTCTTCAGCACGAGGTGCATCGGGTCCCACTGCATTGGAGGAGCAGTGTTCTGCCGACTTGGGTGTAAGGAATGAATGAATGCTGCTGAGCTGCAGATCTCTCCCCTGCATTGAGATGAAGGGTCAGAGCAGCAGCTCCAAGCAGTCCTCCAGCAGAGTCTGCCAGACAAATATCTCTGGAAGAGGTTAGCATTTTAAATGAGATGTCAGGTCTTCTGCTGGGCCTGTTGCTCAGAGCCAGGTGTCACCTGCAGAGCTGAAGGCAACATCTCATCGTCTTGTAATAAAATAATAATGCCCTGTTTCAGTGCTGGGCCCTTCAGCAGGCAGGAGCAGCGTGGTCCTTCAGTTCCATTTGCACATCCCTGCCCTGTCACCTGCACTGCAGAGGAGCCGTTTACAAAGCGCCAGCAGATCAGAGGTGACAAACATCGGCACCAATGCAGGGCTTTGGGCAAGGTTCAGCTGTGAGCCAGTGTCTGGGCATTTCCTTCTGAGCTGGTTTGGGATGAGGGGCTTTGTGAGGCTGCTGCTGGCAGCCTGTGTTTGCTCAGCACCATCCACAAGGGGCCCAGCTCAGGTGTGGCCGTGCTGCTAATAACACACCACGTGCTGTTATCAGCAGGCAGGGAGGGCCCTGAAACCAAACCCTCGTGTGTACCTGCTGCTCGGTTCCACCTCTGCTTGCCTGCACACCACTTAAATAGCTTTGCCTGAATGCTTTGTACCCGGGCTTGGCTCAGGGGAGTGCTGCAGGGATCTGCTGTCCTGCTCAGTATGGAGGAGGTAAGTACTGGCTCCTGCAAGCCTGTCACTTCTCCCTTTTCCACCTCGCTGCCCCATCCTGCCAGACCAACAGGCTTTTGGAGTCTGCGCTGGCAGTTCCTTCCAACTCAGCCCCTCTGCAGGCAAAATAAAGAGGTAATGAACAAACACTGGGGCAGAATGCAGCTTAAAGAGCAGGAGGTGCATGATCATCTGTTGTCTGTGACTTGGTTGCTGCTGCTAAGTTCTGATCTCTGGCTGCCCATGGGTGTCACCACTGGGTACAATGAGATCTGTTTCCCTCACTGAAGTCCTTTGAGGGTGTGGAGAGGGGAAGAGATGGGTCTCTTCTTTTTTACTGGCGAGAAATTCAGCCTCTCTCCCTTAAGCCGAAGTTCTCAGGCAGTTGGGGAGAGGTACAGCTTCCCTCTTCCTCCCCAGTGCCAGCTGGTTAATCAGTGCTAGCAATATCACCAGGATAAAGAGCAGAAGATTTTACTTCCTTGTGCATACGTGTGTGTGAGGCATCATTTACTTTCTATTCAAGGTGGGATACGTTTCCCTCCATAAGCTCTTCACACCCCCAGGCTACAGCAGTGGGATTTCAGCAGCCGGTAACGCAGCATCACCCATCCAGATGCAGCTCAGAGTGGTGGAGGATCTGTGGGCTTTGCTTTGAGAGCTGCTTTTTTCCTCTGCCGGAGCCGGAGGGCTGCAGCTTAACTTCCTATCCTGAGGCTGTCAGCCAGCTGTGTACCCATCACCAAGGAGCAAGGCTGACATCCTGTGTCTGGCCCACAACTGAGAAAGGTGGTTGCTGCCCCCAGTCGCTTCCTTGCAGACCGAGTGGCTCTGAGCATAGCTGGGGCTTCTGAGTTCCTTTGAAGTGATGTGCAGAGATTAAAAGGCGAGCTGCTGCTCTCCCCCCCCTCTGCTGTCAGCTCACTGTTTGACCTTGAGCGAGCCATTTAAATGTTCCCAGTTGTTAAAAGAAGATATCCTTTGTGACAGTCAAGGTCTGAGGGAGCGCGGAGAAGGAAGGTGAGGGATTCTGGTAGAAAAATAATCGGTGCTTATTGTGTGTAATTAGCAGCCTGACAGCTCCTCAGCTGGGGAGCTGCGCCCCTTCCCTGCAGCAGGGAGTGATGCTTCTGTCTTTGTAAAACCTCACTGCTGCTCCTCCAGCACTGCCCAGCCGTGTCCATCCCTCAGAGCTGGGGACAGGAACATGTGTTGGCCTGGAAGTGTTCCCTGTAGGAGGAGATGGCTTTTCCTCCAGCTGAAACAAAGAATTTATTGGGGGATAGGACTGCGAAACTGGATTTTCACCTTGTTCCTCCTGCTGGACTCACCCTGTGCTATTAAGAGAGTGCTGTACACAGCCACTGCTACCCTGCACCCAGGGATGGGGCAGGTGGAGATAAAGTGCTCCTCCTGAATGCCCCGGTGATATCCATGGTCAGGACAGCAAGACCTGCTGTGTCTGTGCAGAGAAACCCCCTGGCAGGCTGTTCAGGGAATGAGGTTAGAATGGATCAATCCCTGAGAACAAGGCAGCAGTTTGTTTTACTCCCGAAACAACATCTGTGCAGGAGCTGAACGTCACCCTACTGCTAAATAAACCCTCTGCCTTTCTCAGCATAACCACAGACCATCTTCCCGGGTTGCTTTTAGCAGAACAGTTTGGTGGAGGGGCCTGGATGCTGGAAGCCTCGTGCTGTTGCTTTGCTTATAGCTGGCTCAGTGGCACGCTCCTTACAAACTTCTAAGCAGCACCTGCTGCCTTCCCTTATTTGCTCAGATCCCGTCCGGATCTGGTGGCCTCTCCTCTTGGAAGAAAGCTGGGAAGAGGGTGCGTGTTACAGGGCAAATAAATGACTCAGACTAATGAGGAAGGTAATTGCCGCTCACTGTTAGGGATAAAGTGGGTCAGGTTTGTTTGTGAAACTCCACGGAGGCACCATCTGTTCCCTGCACCCCGTGCTGGGGGCTGGCAGCAGGATTTGGGTGAGTGCTTCCCCAGGAGCTGGGTAGGAGGTGTCCCTGTCATTAAGCGATGGCTCAGGTCTCCAGAGTGTCCCTGGGGACGCTCTGTCCTCAGACAGGGGCTCCTAATTGATTTCACTGGGAAAAGGGACGCTACGTCCTTTAGGAGGATCTGCCCTTTGTGGCTCTGTTCCACTGCAAGATGAGGCTGAGCGGGACACCGAGGGGTCGTTAAACCTCTTGTAGCCCGAAGGCAGGATTGGATTTTCCCAAATCATTTCTGACAGGTGCCCATCTCACCTGCCGTGAGCCCTTGGGGAGCAGCCCAGCACGAGTCGCAGAAGCCCACAGCTCTCCCGGGGGCCCTTGGGTCAGGGCTGCCTCCTTCAGCTGTGATGTGTCCATGTAGCACCAGGTCTGAGCCCTTTCCCCTGCTTGTCTAACGAGCTCTCCTTTTTTTTATTTAGAGCACATCATGCGAGCAGAAGGGTGAGCACAGAGCGGATCCCTGCCTGCCCACACTTGACATTACTGGGACCACATCTCTCAGCAGGAGGAAAAGGCGCTTCGTTCACCGATGCTAAAAATGGGAGGCAGCATCTGTCCAGCAGACAGGGAAAAGAAACTGCAGGCTTTGCCTGTGGGACACCGCAGGTTGTGCTGCAGTGCTGCAGCCCACGGGCAGTGAGGGACAGCATGGCTCTCAATGTGCTCCTGCACAACCGCAGGGCTCAGCTCCTGCTGCTCAACTCTCTGACGTTCGGGCTGGAGGTCTGCCTGGCTGCTGGCATCACCTACGTGCCTCCATTGCTCCTGGAAGTGGGAGTGGAAGAGAAGTTCATGACCATGGTGTTGGGTAGGCAGTTTCTCCTTTATCCCTGTGGGGTTGGTTTCTCCTTTGGGGAGCAGATGAGGGCAGGCAAGTGTGTGTGTGTGTGTGTGTGTGTGTGTGTGTGTGTGTGTGTGTGTG